TGAATTAATGCGTACTCCATTTTATAATCACAATGGATCTGTCATGCAGAAAAATAATACAACTTGGATCAACTTTAACTTACTCCAAAAGATTCCTTTTTCTTGTATTCTTGTATAATCACAATTTAGACTTGGATTTTATGTCTGGAGAAGTGAAGTAACAATCACAAAATTTAGCAATAGTTAAAAAAAAAAAAAAAAAAAAAAAAAAGGCAAAATTAGTAAAATGTAATTTGTTTTTACTTGAGTTTGTGATTTTTTCATCATTTCTTTTTATAAATATAATTTTGTTATTATTGTCAAAAAGCACATACCTTTTAAATTAAAAAATTTATCAAAATAACACCATAAGCACTGTACGGGAGCTTATTACCTAATTATATACAAGTGCCTATAGTTTTATCAATCATGCATATTACGAAGTACTAAGACTACTACCAATAAAAACACGCTTATGTTATGCATGGTTGTAAAAACTTATCCTGTAAATTTCTTGTATAAACTTTATAATTAAGCATGCATTCATCATAGATGAGAGAGAGAATTACACCTTGTTACATATCATATATTAGTTAGAAAGAAGCATCTTAATTAATTGATAGGCAATCTAATTAAAGAAACTCAAATTGTGATAATCAATATTTAGGGGGTCTACAATGGCCTCCCACAATGCGGTTTCCACAATTGCTTCTTCCGCAGCATGACAAATACGTTAAGCCACATACTTCTCCAACCGGTGTGCAGCTTATTGTAGAGGCTACAAAAAAACTTTGAATTAAACCTTTGTAATTATCAAGGTAATTATATATATGAAACATATTACATAAATTATCCAATGTAAGTTACAAATGGAAGTTTAATTAAACTATACTACTTTTACTAAGGTAGCCTGGCTATTGATTTACTTGATTTTTGCTTTACATGATCTAATTATTTGAACTTTTTGACAACCTTTAACTGAGCTGTTATTTCCTAGACTAAATTAAACTTTGAATTTATTTTTCCTAAAATGATAATAAAGTTATATTACGCACGGTAATCATCAAGCTAAGTATTCGAATTATTAAATTATTAATCAGCTAATAGTCTCCTTAAAAAAATTAAAAAAAATTAAAAAAAAAAAACTAATTATATAAATTTCAGGTAAACTTTAAATGTATCATTAAAAAAATTAAAAAATTCCAAATTAAAGTTTTGTCACTTACTTTCTACACTTCTTTGACCAACGCGGTGACTACACCTATATCCCGGACAACTATCTAATTGAAAGAATACATAATATGAACATTTATCTCCGGCAAGACCACAACCTTTAGATTTACCGACCATGATTTGCGCTGCACTACCCAAGTTCCAAACACACCAATAACATACAATATTAGTAAATTTAATAAATAGCAATAATGAGAATGAATTTGTGTTATAATACGTAAGAAAAGTTATGCATGCGCTACGGCTCATGGTAATGCTATTAATTTACGTCAAATTATTTTATTAGTTTTCTTTTTCATTTTTTTTAATTGAAATTTAATTTTTATCCTAAATATTAATCTTCAACTATCTATTATAATATAGGATGTTGAAAGAAAAAGGAAAAAAATAAACAATTATCATTTTTTTTTTTTTTGACGGGAACTATTTTCATTTAATTTAAGGAGTGATAATGGGTGAGAATGAAAATTTATGTTAAAGTGTTATGGTTTTGATGACATTACCATATAGTCATTATGAATTTATGATGCTACTATTATTTTTGCCAAATTACACTTATAATCATCTTATATTCCTGATACTATCATAATTACTCGAACAATTCGTTAATACTTAAATGAATTAAAGTTCAAGTAGGTCTAACTATTAAATATCTACAAAAACAAAATTGATCGACTAAATAATTATTAATTGACTAATATATAAACAATTACGAATTGAATTAAGTAATATTGAAGTAGCTAATTACCTATAGTTAGAATGAAAAGTATGGATATTACATTCTTCTTTGATTTGTAGAAAGCCGTTTTCCCCTCCATTTTGGGTGATATAATAGGAAGACTAATTGTCGAATTAAGTAATATTGATTAATTTTAATTAAAGATATATGTCTCTCTTATATACTTTGTATAAAATTTAAGGATTTTTCCTATTTATGTACAATTCCAACTGGCTTAACAACTGGCATCGTTTAGAGTTAGATTGTATATCTAAATAAGTTTGGATTTTTTTTTTATTTTTTTTTTGTTATCCATTTAAAAAAATCAAGCATGAATGCATGATCTAGCTAGTATCTGTAATTGTATTTTGGAAGTTGTCATGAATTCTTTGGAAGAAAAAAAAATTCATCACGTATACCTCCTTTTTTTTAAAAAAAAAAAAAAAAAAATCCTTAAACACACAAACTAAACAACTATAATTAGCCGTAGTTACGAGGATATGCGCCTTGTCTACACGATTCCTCTGAACCTTGTGGATGCTAAATCATGCAAATGTCGTACTAGCTCGGCGAATGTTATCAATCGTACTGTCCATCGAAGACTGACATTTGTGATTGTATCGCCCCTAAGCATCCTACCAGAGAAACAGAATCGATCCGTGTAAATTGTGACAGCATGTATTAAACGCGTTGTATTCCCCATAGTAGGCCTTCAAGACATGCATTCATCTCCGCATGTGAGGCCGATTGAGCCAAACCATAAGTCGCTCCTCCCAACTCTCCTTAAATACCAAACACTATAGCCTCCGGGCACCACCCCATTCCCGATCCATCACGTATATCCTTGCTGCTATATATTGTTAGTTATTACTACTTCCGTTTCAAATTATTTGCAACTTTTTTAAAAATATTTATATCTTATAAATAATATCTCAAATTTGCAAGTAGATAATATGAAAGGAAGGTATTACATACTACGATAATAAGTCAGTTTTATGATCATTTAGGATAAGATTTCATGTAACCTAGTTCAGGGCATGTTATATTAAGTGCACATTTGCACATTTTTTATGAAGACATCAACTTCTGGATCGGACTATGGAGGCAATAGATTTGAGGCCGGCCTGCGTCTTGCCAATTAAGCTAATGGTCGCATGGTCTTCGTACCAGGCCGGCCTCGAAGCTATGAAGCCGTCATAATTGTCGTCAATGTGTGCTCTTCTGGCCGTGCACACCACCTTCTCCATATCTGAAGACCACAAGGTTGTTTTGCTGTATCTGTCAACTCTTCAACCTTGTGTTTGCCCACCTTCCCCAGCTATAGCGCCAATGCAGTATAACATTTTAATATAAAATCAGTACCATAATAGAATATTAGAATGAAATGTTATGGTCACAACTCACAACACCTAGAAAGATAGAGGACTTTATAGACCTTTGGTAAGCTTTTTATGGTTCCAACTCAACTAATTAATATGACCGTAAGGACGCCCTATGCATTTCCGTCAGATATTGAATTTTTTTTTGAAATTGGCCTAAAAGCGTGGATTATATAACCTTTAGTTTTGGACAAGTTTAGACTTTTTTTGGACCCATGGAGGTCGGGGTGTTTCCTATGGACTCAGGACACCCCGAGAGTCTATTTGAGTCGTTTGAAATTGCCCTCTTTGCCTTTAAACTGTCAATTTAGCTATTTATAACTTAAGTCTTCTTTCATTAACTCAAGCCACCATGGGACTTTATATGGCCAACAGGTGTTCATATATAATTCCAAACAACATTATTTTACCTCGGGATGTAGCGCATCCCCTATAATCCCAATATTTTTCAACACTGAATGCCAAAACCTCTTAAATTAGTCCGATTACATGTAATGTAATCTCTAGCTAGTTTTGGACATTTTTTTTACTTTATCAGATCCGAAAAGAAAAAGAGGTTGATGTGCTTCCCATGGAGCCCACGACGCCTCGGAAGATTTAGGTGCTTAGAACCATTTATTTTGTTGTTAATTATCAATTTACCCATTTACATTCACACCTCCCTTGGTTAACTCAAGGCCACCCCAGGCCCTTGTAAAACCGACTAGTAGTCATATATGCATGGTTCCAAACAACATTATATGACCCTTAGATGCATCCCCTACCATCTCAACACATTTCGACATCGGGTCTCGAAACCTCTAAAATTGGTCCGAAAGTGTAGATTATAGAAATCAATTATGGTCATTTTTTTACTTTTCTAGACCCAGAAAGGAAAGAGGTTGTGGCGATTCACATGGACATCAATAGGCCATTTGATTGCTTGGAACCATCTATTTTGCCTTTAAACTGTCATTTTGTCTGTTTACAACTTATGACCCATTTCATGACTCAAGGTCAATACGAGACTATATGTGTTAGACTAATGGGCGTATATGAGTTCAAACAACTTTATATGATTTCGAGATGTGTCCCTGAAGATCTCATGAGTTTTGGACACCGGGTCTCCAAATCTCCAAAATAAGTCTGATTTCGTGTATATTTTACCTTCAAATTTGGCTTATGGGGAACACTTTTGGACTTGAAAAGATTATTCATCGAGGTTATTCTGGGGTTTAACGTTGTATATGTCATGTTATGGAACTTGTTGATGTAAATTTGTCATTAGAATAGACCTTGATTCTGTTAGCCCCTTGAAACAACCATTTAGTATGTAGACTACGAAATTCTTTATTTGGGTCTAATTTCGATCTATTTTGTTTTATAAATTATATAAAATTCTCCACCCACCTGGTGCGTCTGTGGACGTAGCTAACTCATCTGTAAAATCTTTATACTATTTTTTTTTTAATTTTGTTAGTCTTTTTCGCATCTGTTATAACACTAGTATTTCATTATTTCACGTCTCTAATAATATGTGTATTGTTAGTGACACGAGTGATGGATATAATAATATATAAGCACGTAGATATATAATTAGGTTAGCATCCGTACAATGCACAAATAACTCATCATTTATATCATAACAATAATTAACAAAATCAATGTTCTAATGAAATAAGATAAACTTGAATTTTGTCATGTGAAGAGAGAAAATTGAATTAAGTAAATACAAAATTTTACCAAAAATATAAATTTTATTAGCTTACATCCCATTTGGAAAAGAATTACACCTTGGCTATCACCAAGTTTATAATGATTAATTAGGAAGAAGCATCTTAATTAATAGCCAATCTATCAAACTCAAATGAAATAAGAACCTTCAATTCATAGCCTTGTGATATTTTAAATCAATATTTTGGTGGTACACAACGACCAGTAAATGCTTGATATGGTTTATCTGGTGTACACTTGTTTCTTCCACAGCAACTGGAAAATAGATTACACTTTCTCCCCTCGTCCAAGCAGTGTTGCTTCGGGTCTACATACAAACAAAGATTGAATTGAAAATAAATGTAATTATCAAGAAAATTATATAAAGCATACTACTACCTCTATTTCTCAATAGATATACTTCGTGTTATTTTGAAAGACACATTCACCAATATACTATTTTAACTATTACTATATTTAATTATGCTTTAGTGAAAAAAGAAAAAGGATTATATATATATATATATATATATATATATATATATATATATATATATATATTATATATATCGAGATTATGCTAGCAACATCTAAAATAATGAAATTAATTATTTAAGTACCAAGTCACATAAAGTTAAGTTTTTTTTAGCTAGGCTATTTAGTCTCCTTTTAAAAGAATTTTTTTTTATTAAATATTAGGTACAATTTAACTATATGATAAGAAAATAATGCCAAAGTTTTGCCACTTACCTCGGACACATTTGTAACCAGCACCTTTGCTACACTTATATCCCACACAACAATCAGTAATTCCTAAAAAATGTGCACATGGTTCGCCGTTATCAGCACAATCAACTTTAGTTCCATCAACCATGATTTGCACTACCAAAGTTTCAAACACAACATTAACATGTTAATAAACTTAGTAATTAAATGAATTAGAGTTTAAATTTGTCTCAAAATTAAACTTCGATCTACAAAAATAAAAATGGTCTAATTAATCGACTAGTAGCTAAGTTACAATGTAACTGATTGCTTATTACCTAAAACTAGGATGAAAAGAATGGCTACTACATTTTTCTTGGATTTGTAGAAAGCCATTTTTCCCTCCACTTTTAATGATATTATGGAGACTATACTGTATGTTATGTCTTATATATGTAAGCTAAATCCTTCCTATTTATAAGCAATTTTAATTGTAATATCACTACATAATTAGTAAAACTATCTGGCAACCAACATGGTAGAGCTAGATTGTTTAAATATGGATTTTTTTAATTTTTATTTTAAATTTATCCATTTGTTGAAAGTCAAGCATGAATGAAAATCCGTCTATAATTATTTGTTGGATATTACCATGAATTCTTTGAAAGAAAAGAAAAGTTAATGTATATCACTTGCGGCCATAATTAGTATATTAATTAGCTTATGTATTAGTGGCTCTTATCATCTTGTAAGATAAGTTAGATTACACACAATACAAGTAAATAGAAGATTAGTTCTAAGTATTACTGTAAGCAATTATATTAAGTTCTCTTCTATTCAAATATCAAATAATAATTCAATTAAAATGCAACTAAAAACATGCATTCTACAATGTTAACAATCATTGTTTACCCAAAGCTATGTTCGGTTTTCGTTTGCTCATTTTGGCTAAAACTTTAGAACTAAAAATTGATGATCTTAGCCACCGCAGTGCGAATAGTTTCCACAAACTCAGTACTTTGTTTTATACCAACTTCCATCTTTCAAGGTCTAACGAAATAATGCTGCTTAACTAGATTCAATTCTTTCAATGACTATGATCATCAAAGGCCAATATGAAAATTTATTAAGAAGACATACATACAGGATGGGAGTGATTCTGCACATATATTCTCGGTTTCAACTGGAACATTAAAATCCCAGGGAACATGTACAACTTGGGGAATCAGAACAATATATATGTCGAAATGGTAATCAGATGACACGGGCTTCATTTTTAAGCTTGCCGATCAGCTCATCCACTGAAGACAAAATGACCCCTGCTTTCCTCTTTGGAGGTTCAGATACTTCAACCACATCCAAATCAGATCTTATTTGGACATTCAGCTCCTCAGGAGTCACTTTCTTTATTGGCTTTGATTTTGCCTTCATTATATTGGGAAGTGTAGCATATCTGGGCTGGTTTAATCTCAAATCAGTACTGCAGCCCAAAAAAAAAAAGGGGGGTGTCAATTTCAACTCAGATCAAGATTCATACAACGCATCAACTTGAAGAGAAAGCACCTGAATCTATACAAATATCAATATATGCAATCAGGGAAATTGTATACTGCTAGATTCTTGGTGACTAATTTCGATAATATCTTCAACAGATGGGTATAATTAAAAGAAAAGACATCATACACATATGCAGTGTTCAGGCAAGGCAAACTTAACCTAGGCCTCAATGGCATACGAATGCCTTAGAGAGCACCTGAATCTATAAAAATACTGTATTTGATAAAGAAAGTTCTATACTGCTAGATTCTTATTGACTTTTTTTTGAAGAAAAAAATCTTCACTGAATATATTCAGGAGCAAGGCAAGCTTAGTCAAGCACTCAAAGGCAAAAGAGATCCATGCCAAAGCTTAGTACTTTAGTATGTTTAAACGCAAAACAAGATGTTCAAGTAATAGTGTTAGTAGAGTGTTCAATAGTATTAGTAAAGTATGTTCAAACTAAACATCAAAACTTTTGTTTCTAATTGTGGCGGCTACTTAGAGAATAAGGCCTGAGATTTTTGCCCATTGGCAACAGCAATAGACAAGGTCAATTTTAACATCTGGCTTTCTTTGTCATGGAAAAACAAAAGAATCTTAGAGGCCCACTCTACTAACAAGTTTGACTAATCAATCCAGAGTCTTGCTCATCAACTTTATAGCCAAAAGTCCATTGTCTGGCTTTGCTGCTGTGTAAAATGATAAGCATTGTAGATCGTGAGATGCAACTACCATTTACCTTTTTATTTGCCATAAGTTAAATGGTAAAGAATAAAGTAATGAGGGATGAGATGCTCACGTTATGATGGCTGGTAAGTCCAAAGATAGTGTCTCAATACCACCATCCACCTCTCGGTCTACTGTTGCTGTTTGTTTCTCCTTGTCCAGCACAACCTACTATAAACAAAGCATCAAGTTGAAAATGGGGGGAAAAAATTGATCATATAGGAAATCTATTTGATGAGCTTTTTAAAATACATACATAAATCACAGCTTGCCAATTTAAGATGCAACCCAGAAAATCTTAAAGATCAGAAGGTTGGTAACAAAACAAACTTTCCTACAGTTTTCTGCTCTACACTCTACAGTTTACAAATGAAGGTCAAACAATCCGATTCAACTATAAGCCACCTCCTAGCTATGTTCCAGCAAAAAGCATTGCACATGCTTTATAAAATTTGGTACCAAGAACCTTCCCCATGCTGGACTAGTGGACTCCCATGGCTTACACTTCAACAGCATGATCCAACTACAACACTATATCCACAACCCCAGTCAACTAAGCACTTCAAAATACACTTTCCGAAGGCTAGCAGATGAGAGAATTTATTACACATACAAGAGAATTGAAATAGGGAGTACAAACCACTTTTCTCCATCACAACAATATTTAGAGAATAACGATTAACTACAGAAAGTGACTTGTGAAAAAATAGCCATCGTCTTTATATCATCAAATCATCAATTTCTCAACCTTGATCAAACTATTAAAATTCTAGTCTTAAAAACTACTCCAGGTTTGTTTCAGTCTAGGCTCATGTCCTTTTCAAACTTTGCCCCTGGTTAAAAAATTTCAGTTTCTATGCTTTCCCTTTGTATTATTCACTTCAACCCATACACCCTGATTCCCTTGCAGAGAATTACACGCTCCAATTAACTATCTAAACCTTCAATATTAATTCCTTGTGGTTCATTCTCTACTTTATTTGCATATCACCTTCTTGACAGCTATCTAGTCTTAGGTTCTTAGGTTATATACTCAATGTAGTCTATGTAGTCTTCCATAGACCAACATTTTCTGTCGTAGTCTGTCAATCAACAGTGGTTAACCAATGTGTAGCTGATTGGTCTATATTCTAAAGTTCTATAATTCATTTTCCACCAAAAATTTAATCCTTTTGACTTTCATATCACCTTTTACAATTGGAGGCAGGCAGGCAGCATGTCACATTTTACTGGTGGGACGCTACTGCAGCACAGTGGTATAGAGTCAAAATTGCTGAAGCCATTGGGACATTAGTGGAGATAAATAGTATACTTGGCCGAGTAAAAAATGTAGGAGGATGAGGGAATATAATAATTAGCCAAGTCAAAAATGTAGAAAGATGAAGGAATAACTTAAGCAGCACAAGGTAAGAGACAACCATGACAAAATTGCAAAAGCCAACCACAGGACTTGGATAAGTTGAGATCATAAAACAAGATAGGTATGATATGATAAAGGTGTGTCGACATCATGTGGTGGAATTCAAGTGGCATTATGGGCTTATGGCAAGATAATGGTAATGGGAACTAGAACATTAACAAAAGAACTTACTTCCCTAAGTGAGGCAATGTGAAAGGACTTAAGAGCTACTTTTAGTTAGAATAATATGGACAGGCTATGATGAAAAGATCCAAAGTTCTAAATGGATCACAAGCCTTTGATGAATTATACATTGGTATACATAGATTTCTAGGTTACGGGGCAGAAACAAAGAAGGTAAGCAGTCCTGGATTTCACAAATTAACTTCCGACTTTCATACGAAGTATTTGTTTTACTAGCCAATAATGCAGGGGAAAGGATACCAAAGATAAATAAAGTAAGCAATGTGTAAATGACGCTATGCCATTGACAATAAATGACAATAGGCAATTCAGCTTAGCTGTGAACTTGAGATAAATGTGCAATACCTTTGAAGCGAACGTCCCTTGCGGCCACTTAAGTAGTCCTGCCACCATCTGTCCAGTTTGGTTACAGTCATCATCGATAGCCTACAATACACAATAAAAACAATAACCTCAGACACATGCTTTTAAATGTACTCAATAGATTTTCATATGTACCACAAATTTATAAGGGAATTGAATGAGAGCACGCTTGCACATAAAGCTGTGGAAAACGTAACCAGGCATGATAAAACAATATAGCTAGTTTAAAGGCAACCAGACACAAGCTTTACACCCCCTCCATATCTACTTCCTAGATGAATATAATGTCACCTCATTTCATTGATTAATAATATAGCACGGTTGCAACGACACGCGAAAATCAGCAATTGATAGACGTAGCCATTGCTACAAAATGTGTTTAAGTTAAGTATTCCCAATCATCCTTATTTTCCCATCGAAACCCAAATAGTTACTGTTTTGCGTAAAACAGAAAGCCTAAGTGACTTATTCTTCAAATAGATACTATTATAATATTTTTATTATTAAAGCATATTATGAAATACACATTTTGAGTTATAAACATATTTCTACTTCATAAAGTGAAAAATATAACGAATCGTGAAACTGACATCCTTTGTCACCGTTGCTCCAAAAATATAAGACAAGTATGTATATATTCCCCCAATGCCTATCAAAACAATTATATCAAATTCAAAAGGCAGGCCATTTGTCAAATTGAAAAAAATCTTGGAACATTCATCAACAAACATTTAAGAAGTAACATTTAGTGGAATTAAACCATCTCACAATCTGCTCGACACCATTGAGCTCAATTACGCAAGTACCTTACTTTCATCAAGTAAATATTCACTCACAATTGTGCAGCTACCTAATCTATAAAAACGTACGGAAAAGGGGTCTCTATTACAAATTCCCATACTTCAACAACAGTCCCTCATTAATGTCTGCAACTAATATTCAAGATACTTCAGCAACATCCCCTCATTTATCCATCCCAAATAACTAAATATCTACAGCTAATATTCAAGATACTTCAACAACAGTCCCTCAATTATCCATCCCAAATAACTTAATATCTACAACTAATATTCAAGATACTTCAACAACAGTCCCTCATTTATCCATCTCAGATAACTAAATATCTACAATTAATATTCAAGATACTTCAACAACAGCCCCTCAATTATCCATCCCAAATAACAAAATATCTACAATTGATATTCAAGTCTTTAACTCAACTCTCTTCCCCTAGAAGCAACAGTAATGATGATTAAGGTATGCTCATATATGAGTTCCCAGACACTCTCTAATTATATCAACAACAAATCTATCAATTAAAGAGGAATCTCAACTCTTAAAACCTAAATTACACTGAAAACACACATAAGCTGATAAGCCTAACTACGCTTTCACTATAGTCTTACCAAATACAATATACCCTTTCAAAATAATCAATCAAAGATGAATCTCGATCCTTAAAACCTAAAAGCCACTGCAGACACGCATAAGCCAAACTACGCCTTTCAGTACAGTCTTATCATACACCGTCATTGAATCCTCTCCTCATCAAAACGCCACCCAAAACGATCAGACAACATGTGCAAATTAATCACACTTAAGTTTCTACTTACAAAATCAAATATTCCCAAAATTTAACCTCTTCATTCCCAACCATCTTTCTCCTAATTCATAAATTCTAACCCTTGCATCATCAAAAAAATTGCAACAGAAATTACATTAAACAAATGCAAAATGAACTAATAAACCACTAAGAATGAGTGATCAACCTGTTTGCCAAGAATTAAAAGCCCCGGATTCTCAACATCAACAAGAGCCTTAAGCAACTTGGCAACATTCAAAGGGTATAAACGGTCCGACATCGATTCGACATGGATGGCTCGATCAGCTCCCATTGCTAAGCTCGTCCGTAATGTATCGACGCACTGCGCTGATCCCATGCTCACTGCCACCACCTCTGACGCCAAACCAGCCTCCTTTATTCGAAGCGCCTCTTCCAACGCTATCTCACAAAATGGATTCATCGACATTTTCACATTCTTTGTCTCCACCCCACTCTATCAAATTACACAAAATCAAATCAATCGTACAATTCATGCAATTCATCCAATTAAAATCACGAAATTCATCAAATCAAATAAATGTTTCTAATTATTGAATGATTGAATGAAGGTAATCCAATAATTGAAGGCCGCAAATAATCAAACCTCAACTTAATCAGGAAAGTAATTGAAATTAGATTGGAATTTAAGATGATTACCTTATCAGGTTTAACTCGGATTTTGACGGCGTAATCGACGACTCGCTTGATTGCAACCATTATCTTCATCTTCAGAGATTTGATTAGAGTTGAATTTCTAGGGTTCGAAATTTATGATTTGGGGGAAAGATGAAATACTTGTAGTAACAGAAGTGTTTTGATTTATGAAGTGTTGTATAAAAGTGGGAAAGTAGATGACTAGACTGGAGGTTAGTCATAGGCTATATCCGTTAAATGGATGATGACAGTTTGAGTGTTTGACTTGCTACGCAACTAAAGAGAACAGGCTTATGGGCTTAAGCCTTAATGTAGTATCATGATTTATAATTTGTGGCCTCTTTATATTACAAGCCCAATGGATAATATTTTCCATAATTTACTTGCCATATGTCAACAGCGTGTTCGACAGTAGCTTTTAGATACTCCATAGCTTAAAAAGAGTATCTAAAGGCTACAACTATACAAGGTATGGAATAGTTTTTAATGGGTTAACAAGTTAAAACATTAGGTAATTAAAAATGAGTTTCCATATGAAATTATATTTCATAGAAAGTAATTTTTCTTGTCCATTTCCTAAGAATTAACTTAAATTTGTTTGGTTGATAATATAGGAACTAGGAATTTATTTTCTATGTTTTATTAGTTAACTTGATAATTTTTTTATTTAAGTTAACAAATTTGGAGAGAGAAAGAAAGAGACTAAAATTATTAGTGATAATAATGCAACTAGGCCCCACAATAATCATAGGAATTGTGACTTACTAAGGGAGGGCTTGGTAAGTTGTTTTCCATGTGTAACTTCCCTTGGAATTTCCATATCTCCCACTTTGATAATTTTGTGTCAACCAAATAACACATGCTTTTTCCATTTACTAGGAAATAGGATTTCTCATGCTATTTACCTCCAACCAAACAACACCTAAGTATATTGGATTTTGATTAGTTACTAATTTTGGTAGTAAAAAAGTTAACAATAATAACTTTTGAAATATAAATTAAAAAAATTGTTAACAGATTTTCTACATTTTAGAAAATTTGATTCTAGCTTCATATGAAGTAATAGAAGTATATAAACTCCGTACTTAATAGCTAATACTCGTAGTTAGTAGCTACTTCCACAGCTACATGTATTTTGCCGCACATCACCAATATCTCATCTTCTCTAGCCTTTCTATTCTTCATTCAATTGCTCACCCCAATCTTAAGGTTTATGAATAGTGTTTAGTGTGGGGGATTAGGGTTTAGGGTAAGAGTCTGATTAGGGTTAAGAATTAAGTTAAGGTGTGGGCTTCAGGTATTAATTTTCATGCTCTACTTATGACAACCCATTATATATGTATAATCATATGACATTAATTAAACAACACTTGATTTTTTTTTTTTCTCTACTCCATCACTTGCATTTATATGTAGTATCATACGAAGTACGAGTAGTAAGAAACAAGGAGTATAAAAATATCTAGATACCATCTTTTTTTTTTTTTCTACGGTAAGAAGACTTCCTTATAAGTTGGGGGAAAATTAGGGATGCCACTTACTTGGGATGATAATCGAATCTCTCTCATAGGGATGAAAAGAGAGCCTCCAATCACCGGATCAAACCTTGATTCTCATCCAGATAGCATCTATCACATGATGATTTTTTGCCCTTGCAAAACTATAGGAGTATAAAAAATGGAAGTAGTGAACAAAATAGACCGACAAAGGCAGCAGAAGAGCAGAATAAATCTCGTGGAAGTAAGGGCAAAGTTGACATATACTTAATTGTCTTAGTCTTTCCTTAATTGCAGTGCCCAACAATGATCCATGTGAACAAGTTCATAAAATACCCAATACGTTAAAAATATACATGTATTCATACTGTTTATAAACTTGGTTTGACCACTATTTAATTAATTAACTTGGTGACCAAGGAAAACTTAATTTGCTTGGATTAATGTTAAAAGTATATAAATTTTTAGCTGTACGTTCGTATATGGACAACATGTAAAAAAATAAATATCGAGTTTCAATAAAACTTTGTTGGTAAACGATATCGACGACTAATTGTCAGCCCGCTATTACATACAATAATTGGTTAGAGAAATTTAGTGAAAAGTCAACTAGTTGATCAAAGAAATAGGATGGGTTTTGTTAGCCATAGTAAATGACGATAATTGTATTAATTTGTATACGTTATTCTAAACTGGCAAATTATATATTTGGCATGTTTGTGGTAATATCAAAATCGATTCACCATTATTAAGTGTAATTTGAGAGTGAAGGAAAAATAAATAAATAAATAAATTTGATAGTGAAAGATACCTCAAGTGGTTAGAGCTTCCTTCCTGGTTTTAGGAGATTCTACGATCGATTCTCATCATCCGTCCTCGTGGCTCTCTAAACACCAAAAAATTAAGTTTAATTTAGAGTGTACTCCGTATGTAATTTTTTATAATACTATATTAATGAGGTTTCAATCCAGTAGTTTTATCTATGATAGTTTACATATTCAAATTAACTCGCCCTTATTTGTACTTTGTATTGCTCTATATTTTTTATCCATATTTGATATTGTAGTGTGTTTATTTTGCATGAACAATAATCAAGGTTATTATACTACGTATTAGATTGAGGTTAGTCAATAACCATAGTGATAAATGCTGATAATTGTATTGAATAGTGATAACTATAAAGGACAATGATCGTATTGAATTCTCATATATGTGAATTTTATCCTAGATGATACTATTTATTATTAGTCCTAGCTAATAGAATAAAAAAAAAAAAATATACCATACAAATATAATGTAAATACGCTAAAATGAGCTTCAACTATAAAAACAAAGAAGGGGGGAAAGAAGAGAGGGTGGGAATAAAAGTATAGAACACTGTTAACATAGGATTAATTAAAACACTTTTAGGCGTATTGTTTGCTTTCACATCAAAAATTGAAGATATAGACATTAATTGTTTTTTTTTTTTTTTTTTTTTTTGTGACTTTTAATACTATAAGAAAACTTTAAATAAAAAAACATATACTTCGTATTATCCAACTCCTAATAATTTTACTATTAAATTTTCGTATTCCTACCTAATTAAGCATCTTTGTTTTTCTCAATTTCGTCAACACGGATTAGTGGGGTAAAAGGAATTCGTTTTGGATTTTGCACGTTTTCTTTTGACTCATAAGAAGTTAGCTCACACGTTTGGGAAATGATTCAAGCACGTAAACATTTTAACTTTGTAACTAGTTCCAGATTAGCTTTAAAATGTTTACACTATTAATTAAAGTTAAGATTATCCGGTACCTAAATTATAATTGGTTGGAACCACTTGACCCACAAATTGCATGATAGCTAGTCTTAGAATTTTAGACCTTCCGGTAAGGGTAATTTTGAATGTATAATGAAAATTAACTGGAAACCATAATTCGTATCGTATTTTCTTATATGTATTCAAAACTTTAAAATTTAGTCAATAAAAAGCCATTTTATACACATTTTGAATATTTATACGAAGTAATCAAACTCATTCTATATCGTTAAATCAAATTATTGGAGTCACTTCTATTTTCCATGCCATATAGAACCGAATTAGAAATTGCTTTTGTTGTTGTATGTTGTTAGCTTTAATTTGTTTGTGCTGGTTTGTTACTCTTATCCTATAAATCTGTAATTTCTCAATTGATAATTCATGACCTAATTATGTTTGTTTTTTATTTTTCCACTCACCGATGTGAAAACTACTTGATCATCAGAATTTAAAGTAGATACAAATACATACAAAGTAGTCTAGAAGCATGAAATTAAAATATAATGTGGCAAGGATGATAATTAGAAGAATTGAATGTCAATCATTTGGTAGTTAACTTGATTATGACACCTTACAATAAATAAACCATATCATATTATAGAGTATACAAACAGAAAACTTGATTTTAGGTAGGAAATTTGGATGGTCTATATCATAATTTAATTAAAAAGTCCATAATAAACGCATTAGAACATGTAAAAATAATTGACAAAAAACTGAAATAAAACATATGACAGGTATGAATTGAATGTGCAATGTTTAACTTGTTAAAGGAATAATCATCATAATATGCATGAAATTAATAACAATAATTAAGCTATATATAATCTTATATGCATGGATGGGTGATAAGGTATATATAATCTTATAAACTTGACTAATTCATCCTTGGTTAAGGTAGGTATGATGTTTATTTCAAGTTACTTAAAAATTTTGTTGCCGCCTATAGCTAGCTTGCACCTTAATGTTGTATAACATAAATAAGATTATATGAGTAGCTAGGCATGTTTCTATAGATATAATTTATACAAAGTTCAATTAGGTATGAGAATTTAGTTTGGAAGTTGAAGACAATAGTGAGATAGGTGCATGAATGTGGAGAGTGCATAACTAACCCTAAAAAAAAAAAAAGGTTCTCGTGCAATTGGGTCATGGACACCCATTTGGACACAATGGTAGTTACAAGTCACATAATTCTCACTTTGAAATAATACTCAAATAACAATGAATATTGTTTATTGACAAACGAGTCAAGTGAAAGACTAATTTGAGACAAATAGAGTGTCATATAATTAGGGTTAAAGGTTAATTAGACCAATTAAAACCACATCTAATGATTTAACCAAAATAGGAAAATGTCGTTTACATATGCACTAAGGTACGGTCCTGTTTTAATAAAGTCTTTCGTCTAATCACAAGCAATATAACAATCGAAGCGACAACGAAGAGAGAAACGAGGAGATCGAGGTAGGGGGGGGCAAGATTAATCCAATTAGTAATTTAAGTACAACAGTCTCAAGTAGTAAATGCCATGCCGTACCAAATAATAAGTGATGTAGTCCGAAGGGACAATGCCGGGAGAGAAAAGGTCCACCACCACTGCACCCAAGAGTAGATTACAAATGTTACAAGTCTTGCTCTTGCAACAAATGAGCTAAGCATTTTCGATGACAAGTAAACTCAGCTCCACATTTATTGCTCTATCTCAACAACCTCCAACGGTAGGCACAAGAATAGCCTAGGGATTTGCTATACTTTTGAATATCTAGGGGACTAGGGATCTTATTATATTATACTCGTATAGTCAAACTTATTGGGTACCACCTTCTTCCTTACAAAGATTTGTTTAATTAAAAAACATAGAATAATTTACAAAACAAAAGAGGCGGAAGCTTGATTTACAAGGTATATGGAGAAAAACATTAGGCTAATTTTATGCGACCAAACATGTCTAGTTAGTGAAATCAAAGATAAGGGCTAGCATGAGATTAAACAATAATAAATTTAAAAAGGAATAGTAATATACATTCTTTTGCTACATACGTCAAGTTAAAAAACTTTAATTTACAGAGTATTTCTCGAGTGTTAAGTGACAGTTGACTTGTTATAGTTTGAAATATTGTGCTTGATCAAGCACATATGTGATGAATTAGTTATACCAGCTAGTTGCTAGTAAAATACTCACTGATTCACAAGTGTTATGTGGAAAATATCGTGCACCCATGTATATAATGTTCAAATAGCCCATGTTTGTGCCTTTATATATATAGGATCAATGCTTTAAACCATAAAAATAGTTAAAAGAAGTACGTTAGTTATTTATCACATTACAAATGTATTTACTTCTGTTCCCAACAACCCTTAGTTCATTACAAGCTCTCATCTATGTTGCAAATTTTCTCTTCACTTCATTATTCAATACTCACACATATACTTTATAATCAATCATTTAACCACCCAATTGATAGGAAAATAGTTATATATATAATATAATTAGATTTTAATTGCCTTTCAATTATGTTAATCATCATTATCACAAAACAAAAAGAGAACCTAAAATAACAAAAAGCAATAAGACAATAATAATTGTGAAAACAAAATAAAAATTTGTCTCCAATCACTATAGTGGGAATTACGTAGGAGTGATATGTAAGGCCGTCCCCCACAATTCCACAAGTAATAATACTAATGGGTCATGCCGTCACACACAAATTTGCCAGTGGTCCAAATTTAAAATTGTCATTTATTATTAGCTTTAGATGAAAATTTAGCCAAAATAAATAGGGTAATGTTATATGCAGCCTTTAATATATTTCCTTTTTTAATATTAAGTTAAGAATTTATCGATAATTTATGAGTAAATCGGTATAATAAATGTTTATTTATTGTCAATTCTTAAGGACTGCATATATCTTTTTTCAAATAAATATACGAGTACAAAATTCAGGTGTCATTGAATGCCTCTTTCAGCAATAGATGACCGCAACTATCACACAATTAGGGTTAGTTATTATAGGAATCAAGTACTATCAGTCTTCAATTCATTGTGAATTCACAAATTAAACACACTTTTTATTCATCTTCTTTCTACGGATTGGAGTACGTAGAGACCACTGAATGTGATTCAAGTAAGAATTAATTTTTCATACAAGTAGCTCTTTAGTTGTTTATGCTTGTTCACACTATCACCCTCGGGTGATAATTAATTCAGACTAGATCAGATCAAATAAGAAATATTCACATATTTGTTATATACAAGTATCTTTTATAATATTATTTAATAAAATATTGATATTACACATATGAAGATTGAAGAGCTCTTAATAGTGTTTTTATTTTTGTAATCTAAAAATAAGGTCAAAATTGAGTAAAACTAATACTCGTACATTTTAGACTAGACCAAAAAATAAAAATAAAAATTACTCGAGTGGGGATTATAGATAACATATACTATAAATAAGGTTTGTACTTGTATAAGCTAGAAAAATGTAGAGGGGAAAAGTGTTGAGTGTGATAATGTTTACAAAAATTAGTATTCTCATTGATTAAGAGTCAAAATTACAGCTATATATTGATTGACAATCGTACAAATAAGGATATGAATAAAGGGTAGAAATAAAGTAATAAAACTAATTAAAGATAAGTTGGATCACTAATCAGATAACAACCGAAAACAAGTATACATGGTTGAGAGAAGAATTGCAGCCAAACAAATGAAATAAAAGTAGATAACGTAAATAAGTAGGATTGCTTTGCAATTTTTATCTTATTCTTAGAGTAACATGCACAAGGTACTTCAGATTTATAAAATTCATGGTATTTTGATGTGAACTTCTTATTATTTCAATTTATATATATGTTATTTTATACTTGTATGTTGTTTTTTTATATTCAACATCGATCATTTCATATACTCCAGGTTTATAAAATTCATGTTATTATTTTATTGTGAACTTTATATTATTTCAATTTATATATATGTTATTTTTAAATAAGTACATGTTATTTTGTACAACATAGTGTTTTTTATACATGCTGTTAAATAAATAAGTAAATAATATATAGTTTTAGCAAAATAAACAAGACTTAAGCAAAATAACATAAAGTTTAGGCAAAATAACTCAAGCATATTGGGTATGGATCGGAGTACCATGATCCAAGAGTATATAATACTAACTTGGATTGCTTTATTTAAATTTAACTCATTTTCATTAGTAGAACTTATCTTAGATAGGCGAATAGCCTTTAATAATTCTGAACTTCTTTCATCCAAACTCAATTTTTTTTAGTAAATAAATTTTTATTTGAAAAACTTTGCTTACATATTTTTCTTTATTTTTATAAATTGCTGAATCTTACCCAATTTTAATCAAGTAGACTAGTAGAGTAGTATTATTCAAAAAAAATAAAAAAAAATAAAATTAGAGTAGTACTGTACAAGATTTGTAAAATATTACGAGTAATATTGAATACGGAGTATAAGTGGACGTATCACGTATGTGAGCGTGAGGGCAGAGGTTTAAAAAAAAAAAAGCCAATCTTTGTTGACGGTGAATTGTCATTTGGCATTCATATACATTGACACATGTACATCACAGTTTTGTCGACACATTAAAAATAAATTAAATGGTCATGAAAGGGTATGGTTGCACCACTCGAGAAATCTATTATGAATACTCCACTTTGGAAATTACGGTACATAGATAAATCCATACATACAGTAGAATTTATAATACGCCTGGAGTTGGACCAAAATAATAATAATACCAAAAAAAGAAAAAAAAATCTACTTTATTAAGTTGATAAAACTTGAAATTAAGTTGAATTGACTCAATCTTATACTTATATAGTGTCATTTGATACTCTATAATACACGAAATACTATATGCCATATACGTTTATACATGAGCGAGTTTCTTGAATCAAAACACATGTCCTAATTTATTGTTCACATAGACTTTGGTATGTATTAAAGTTTTTTTTTAACCAAGTATGTTTGGTGGAATTGGTGGGGAATTCACTTTGTGAATTTAAGGTCATAAGTTCGAGCCACCAATTACATTTTACTTGGGAGCAAGGACTTAACTTGTAAGAGGTGCCGGTTCTCCTAAATATATTAGGCAAAAAAAACTTCAGGCTTGAGATTTAGTTAGGCGGAATTATTTTTTCCTAATAGTTGTTTGACTTGATCCAAATGTTAACCGCTATCCAAAATGTTATTGTCAAACAGGGCTTTAATGATATCTCAACACTTTATTTAATTGCAATTTTTACTTTTTTTTTTTTTTTCCTTTTAAAAAGACGACCAAATAGTAAAATAGTGGTACATGGTACTACTACTAAACAAATGATAAATTTCTGCCAGAATTTCTGATGGTTGGCTGGCTGCCCAGAAATTTCAACAATCAAACCAACTACTACGTCTACTACTACCACCTCTATTTGGCTATTTGGATACCTGTACCCATCACTCTTTTTTTTCCTCCACACTCTTTTATAAACCTCTTCCACCCCTCTTTTTCCTTCTTCCTACCACCCTGTTTTTCTCTCTCCTCCCCTGTTTTCCTGTCCATTTTCGACATTCAATCAAATTAAATTCATGTAACACTAAAACATCACAAACCACCCTAGCAACTACATTACACCACCCCTTTTATGGATATCTCCCCTCCGCCACCGCCACCGCCACCGCTGCCGCTATCGCCATCGCCACCAATCCTCCACCTTCAGCACCCGGAAAACAACAGTTTCCCGGTCATTGCAATCGCCGTGATCGGCATTCTAGCAACCGCATTGCTCCTAATCAGCTACTACATTTTCGTCATCAAGTGCTGCTTAACTTGGCATCGAGTCGATTTCTTTAACCGCTTCTTCTCCCGCGTTAGAGACCCTAGTAACGATACAGGTTCATTGATGAGTCCTACTCTATCCCCGGACGGCAATACTGCCGTCCCGAAAGGACTCGATGAGGCCCTCATTCGATCGATACCAGTAATAGAATTTCGGAAGCTGATTACAGAGCGTAAGCAACACGATATTATTACATCAGAACCCGCAGCTTCGTACGAGTGCGCGGTTTGTCTTAGCGAATTTGAAGAGGGTGAGAGATTACGAGTTATTCCGTATTGTTGTCACGCATTTCATATCGATTGTATTGATGTTTGGTTACAAAGTAACGCTAATTGTCCACTTTGTAGATCAGGGATTTCCCCTGCTTCTATATTGTACAATACTCAACAACATTTCACTCATTATCCTCCACCATTCCAACCCCAGAAACCTTCAAACGACGACGACGACGACAACGATAACGATAACGATAATGATACTGATAATGATGATGATGATTTTGTGGTGATTGAGATTCAGGGGAATAATTTGGATGAACCCAGATTAGTAACTAGAGGAGAATCAGAAGAGAAAAGAAGAGGAAGGAAGAAATTGGGGCATGTTTATAGTTTGGGAGATGAATTGATTGATATGAGAAAGCAGGATGAAGAATTTGAGGTAGTTCAACCAATAAGAAGGTCAATTTCAATGGATTTGTCAAAGGATCGAGAATATTGCTTCGAAATTCGAGAATATTGTAGTAGTGATATTGAAGTATGTGAGGTAAGTAGCAGTAGTAGTAACAACAAAGTTAGAAGATCTATCTTTTCATTTGGTTATGGAAGAAGTAGTTCATCACGATGCTCTGTTCAACCAGTTCATTTGGATCCATGAGGTTTTTTTTAAAATTATTTTCTTTAATTTTTTATATCAAGGGGGGATGGGGTTTGATTAGTGCAGATGCCAACGAGCTTAATTGGTTATAATGTTGGTATTACTATCCTTTGCGGCTTTTTTTAGGCCAAGAAAAATTGTTTGATTAGTGTAAATTAGAATGTACAAGTTTTTAGAAATATGTATTGGGAAGGGTGTAAGAATGGGATAGGTTGTTATAGAGACAATTTAGTTGAAATTTCATTCAATTGTTTGGTATAGTGTAGTTTCTTGATGATGTATCATAATTAGATTTATTTTATATAGTTATTCATTTGATTTTGAAATTTTATGTTAATAATTGTGTATTGGGACTTAGAGCTTAACTTCAAAGGTTAACCTCATAAGTCAAAAAGTGATATCCAATCACAAGTTGATGGTGAACGAGGGTTGAAAAATCCTCAAAAGATTTGTATAAAATGGGAAAAAAGGAAGGAAAACTATTGTTATGAAGTCAGATAAATATCTCGAGATAATGTACTAGTATGAGATAGCGTAAAAAAGTTCAATATTGACAAATAAAATTCAGTATTATGGAGTGTGTAAAGGACAATTAGACATGCTTAGTCTCACTATCTCACTAAAATAATTTATAGGTTGATCAAAATAAAATTAAGATGAGTAAGCTCATTTCTTCGAAACAGAAAAAAAAAAAAAAAAAAAAAAAAGTTAGCTCCACATGTCTATCTTACTTTGCTATTATAAAGGATATATAATTAATAAAGATATCAGTAATAATATAAAACAATAGATTCAGGTAATACGTATAAGTCATACCTTATACATCTAAAATTTTCATAAAAAAAGGACAAAGATTTGATTGTTGTACACTCGATATCATGCATCAAACAATTCAATCAAAAAATATGTGGAACAATCTAAAATTTAAGTTTCAATCCAAATTGAAGAATACAAAACTTCATAACCAAAATTCTCATCATGCTATCTTTGTTTCTTTTACCTACTTTAGTTTAATACTTTCCTAACACCGTATCTTTGTTGGTATTAGGTTTGAACGCATTGTGACATAATTAGACTACTTTGATGTTGGATACAGCCATGATTATAATCATAATAATCAATAATTACTTTAATTAGATTGCAATTTTTTAGTCTACTCAATCATCTTTTTGCAACTTCAAAGAAGATTATTTGTCTACTTTATTATACTCACGTTTGCTTGGCAACAAAAATTTTACCTTAAAAAGTTGTGGGCCGACGTCTGAAAAAGAGAATCGGTGCTTTCCCATTCGAAACGCTCCGTCAACATTTACTAAAAATGTTTTTGTTCATAGTCGTTATAGTTGTGCTAGCTTTTACATTGGTTGGTGATCAATTTGTTTATTTATTATGCTTTGATTTTTTGGATTTAATTACTAAGTACTTTATGATTTATAGATAAAAAGTTAAATTGTGTCATCTTATTTTTGTTACTTTACGAGTTTTTCAATATCACTAGTTATTATGAATTTCTTATACTGTATATGATAAGAAATAATGATAAAACGAGTTTTTTAGTATAAGTAGTTATTATGAAATCCTTATACACGATAAGAAATAATGATACTTATTATATAATGAATATTCTATTTTGCTTAAAAAGAAATACAAAGTACTTTTGTCCAAAAGCCGGTCTTTTGTCAAAATTAAATATCTTTGTTTCTTTTAAATGGCTTGAAAAACAATTCCTACAATGCATATTGCCCAATAGAATTATTGAATTGTACTAATTTAATAACAAATTTGTGTACTATTCCAAAAGATGCCTGTGGCATTCATGCAATCTTTTGCAGCATCTTTGACAATAATAATGCAAGGGCAATCTTAATTGCAATTGAGAGGAGGTTCAACTGAATTTTGTTGTACATTAGCATTCTCACAAATGGAGGTACTTTTTTTGCTAGGATCCGAAGCAGTAATGTAAATTGTTTCCATTAAAATGTTGTTGCATGGGATAGCTTGACTACATTGCACTGTAATTGCTTCGTCAGTTGCTGAGGTTCCTTGGAAGCCATTAAATGTCACGTCGGACACTGCTACCGCTGATGACTTGTATAATTACATGTACCAATGTACGTACGTATAATTAGAGTAATGCTACACGTTTAATATACAAAATTATTGATGAAAAAAAATTGTCAAGTTTATTAGAAGGTTTACCGAATTTGCACAATCACTATTGCTATTGCAGTAATATTGGTCTATGATAATCGGGTTTTGGACATCCTCAAGAATGATATTCTCATAGGTGATCTGCCTTGCATAACCAGATCCACCCTATATAAAAAATTTAAACTTAAATTAAGACGATAACAAGTAGAAATTAAATTATGTAATTAACATACAAACCAACAAAAAATATCAAAACGTAATTTTTAAGTTTATTACCTGCCATGTTTTAATTCTAGCTCCATTTGAAGTATTTTTGAAAGTGCAATTTTTCACATGTACTTGTTCTACTCTTGCTTCAGTTCCATCTTTTCCCAAGCTTCCCACACTATATATTATTAAGATAAAAAGATTAACCTTTCATTGCGCTTTATTTTCTAATCAAAATTCATATATATACAAGATTTTTGATTGTTTTAATTTTTTTTTTAGATTTTTCATTTTTTGAAGTAAGGAGAAGGCTGTACACAGCCAGAAGCTCACAAAAGTTAACCCGACTCGTGTTAGAAAGTACTCCATAAGACTCTTTAAAATGGGGGAGGGTTTAATGGTTTATGCTAGTTACTATGGAGATTGTACAATTTACAAAGTACTTACAAAATCTATACCCAAAAAAACACTGGGCCTTAATTGGGCCAACCCACCAGATAATAAACAAACTAGATCTTGTTGGGCTTGTGCCTAATTGACCTTTTATGGCCTAAAGAATAACTTGTAATAATCTAATATCATATCACTAATAAATAAAGTCGGTCTCGCAGTCAGACCACGAGACAACGACACTTGACATTTCAATTATTCGCCAAGTGTCACGCCACACAGGTGAAAACTAGGTATTATTGTGACACATATGATTTTAAGTAAGCGAATTTTAGATAGATTTTTTAAGATAAAATTGTTATATAGAGTTTTATTGTCGATATACTTCTAATATTTCGTATATACAAAATTAATCATAACTTTTATTAAATATCCTATAACTCGGTTCTATTTCCATCATAAATTCGTTTTTAAAAAGTTCTGTAAAATAAGATCCATTTATAATATATTTAATCACAAACTTTTATATGTAGCTGGTCAAACCGTGTCACCAACTATTTTAAGAGTTACTTCGTTAGTGCTATAGGGGTTACTTGGTCAGTGTTATAGTGGTTACTCAATCAATGTTATAGATAGGGGTTACTTAGCAAGTGTTAGAGGTTACTCAGTTAGTATTATAGGGTTACTCTGTCAGTTTTATACGGTTACTTTGTCCGGCAATATGGTGTGGCTAGCCGCATACAAAATGCATTGTTATTTAATTTACTTCCTTTGTTATTTTTTTTATTGCACCATGAGGAATTTCACGCTTGGCAATGCATTACTTTAACTATTAATATCTTCAATTATACTTTTGTAAAAATTAGTAAAAAAAATTGATATTTGAAAAGTAGATTTGGAGACGAATCACTTGACTATATTTTTCCTAATGGATAAATTACAAATGATGGTAAAAAAAGATTAAGTGAATAGTGTAAAAGTCCTTATGGTGCAGTAAAAGAAAAACGGAGGAAGTATTTACAAAAATAATAGAGAATCGGTAAAAATAAGTTTTAATTTGTAAAAATAATTTTAGTTTGGTAAAGATACTTTGAGTTCAATGAAAATAATTTAATTAAGCACAATATAAGTAATTTCAAGTCAATAATAACATAGATATCTATTATTTACAAACAAAACTACAAACACTATTATATATTGTATATATAAAGGGAAGTTTTTTCCCGAGTTTTTAGAAAGCCACATAGGATAGAAATTTCTTAACGCGCCATGTAGGATTATAATTTAAGTGATAGCCAATAAAATAAAAAATTTGTAATTTCTTTTAGAATTAAATAATTCAAATGCCACATAAGCAAAATTGGCGAATGAGATTTTTAAAGTTTAAGTTAATTAAATATAATGCATTATCTTTTGAACTTAGTAATTTTTATTTTAGAATTAAATAATTCAAATGCCACATAAGCAAAATTGGCGAATGAGATTTTAAAGTTTAAATTAATTAAATATAATATATTATCGAGTTTTATCTAAATATATAACGAAGGAAGAGAAATTAATAATTTATAAATACTAAAAAATTTGTTTAAAAAAATACAAACAAACCGTGCATCGCACGAGTTTCATCCAGTTTCTATCAATAATTTTGTACGAACCTAATGCCATGGCCTGGTCCGCAGATGACGTTTGTTATGTTAATCCCTATTGAATCTGAACCAATTGCAACACAATCATCACCTATTTTTAACAAAACCAAAAACATTGTTGATGATAAGTAAGAATTCGAATATTAGATAATGTGTACACTAGAATCCTTGTACAACGTCATATATTTATTATACACTGTAGTAAGAGTGTAACTTAACATACCAGTTCCAATGAAGGAGTTCAAGATTTGAAGGTTGTTAGTAGAAGCAATATCAATTCCATCGGTGTTGTGGCTATCTTGTGGCGCAATTAGGTTAATATTGTTTATAATCGAATTATTGCTGTGTAACATAGCTATGTGACTTCCAGGACAATCTTTGCTCGTAACGCCACTTAATTGAAGACCTTTGCAGTTAAAAAACATCATGTTCTGAAATTAACCAAATGTACTTAACTTGAACATGTATGCTTAAATTAATTGGCATCTAGTATCATAAACACCTCTAAATTACTTTTAATCACTATCAATTAACAAAACTTACCATTGGACGTTTGCATGAGCCCAATTCCTGGGATTAATGAGCACATAGTCAATGAATTATAGTGTAATATTATGAATAATGCATTATACACATAATTGAAACAATATAAGAATTCCCACATTCCATGATTATTTAGCGTATAAATTAAATACGATAATTTAGTTTAAGATAAATTTATATATACATACGTTGATTATGGGAGCATTTGTCCACCAAATTGAGCCTCTACCATCAATAACTCCTTGTCCTTCTACAACGAGATTATCAATAGATCCAAAATGTAGCCAAGCATTGTTTTCACATTTGTCCCACTCACCAATGCTACTCGGTGCTACAATATTACCCTGGATCAGTCATATTTACAAAACCCCGTACAATGTCAATATATAATCACCACTTAGATTTAATCATCATATTACTGGTCCAAATTACAATTTATGTAAAGAAGTGGGAAAGTAGTGAGTACTTTTCACCCATTTGATTAACTTTCACAAATTGGCATGATTAGATATATTTTGGATATAAATGGAAAAGAATTAGACGTTCAAATTATTCACCTCGATGTGAATGGTAGTAGTAGATTTGCAAGGACCATCAAAAGCAATGTATTTGATTAAGAATGTATATCCTTGTGGTACAACTAGGGTTGTACTATCACCGCCAGCATTGCATACATCTATCCATGCTTTTGCAAATGTCTGTAAAGTGAACCATACAGATGCGACGTTTATGTTAATAATGGAAAAAGTACAAATGCATGTAAAATGTTGGTACTTGGTACAAACACTCGTTAGATAAAATGTATGAAATTTATACTTGAGTGTCATCTTGTTGTCCATCTCCTTTTGCTCCATAATCCAACACATTGAAGGTAGGTGAACTGTTTTGTGCATTCGTAACACTTATGCCAAGCAAGCTAGTTGCAATGTATGCAACAATGAAGAGAATATGGCGATAGTCCTATCAAACACAACAAGTTATTAAACAAAATTAGCAAACCTAAAACAAATACGGAGTATTCCTTCCTAAAAGTTATTCGTAACAATTGTAAGTCATTGATTTTATTTGTAGCATGAAATAGAATGGGAGTTAAACGAAAATAAATCCAAATTACATGAAACTCACCATTTAAGCACACAAAGAAGAAGTTAATATATACTGTAATATATAGTTCGAGTTGCCGAGTTGTATCAATGTTTATGTCTTTCCCTGCTCCTAAACCATATATTTTATACATGACAAACTAATAGTACCTCAAATCATTATTGTTTATGTAACATAATTAACATTTATTCCAATTGATTAATCGACATTATGTCACATAATAACTCCTCAAATTATTGGAGGCTTGGCTATGATTATATTTCTAAATCTAGTCAATTATTTACCTTGAAATACAACAATAAGAAATTACTACTTCACTAGTGTACCTAGATTACTATCTTGATTTATGTTAATTTTCGATTCTGTGGTCTTGTTAGCTTTATATTCCAAAAAATATCAACATTATATTAAAAATTCATCTGAACTTGTAGATATTCTCTCAATAATGTATTATGTAATAATTAGGTTTCTTATTTTGATGATATTCATTTCTTTATTTTATTTTAAAGAAAAAGTCAATTACTTTTCTTCCTATATTGGGATTAAATTTGCAATACTATGGGCATATGAATGGAGGGAAAATTGTGATATTTTATTCTATCAAAATTTGAGGGTCCATTTTGTAATGTTCAATCATTTTTTTTCTGTATCTTATAAAAGTAATTATGATCTATGCACGATCGTAGAATTAGATCTTAGGGTTTATTCTTCAAACTCTAGAAATGTTTCAAAGAAATAAATTAAGATATGTTCACTAAATAACACATATTAGATCAAATATTATCCGTAATAAATTCAAATAAGGGTTACCTATCTACATGAACAACAATATTTAAAACATTTATCATTGGAAAACAAAAAAAGTTGAAAAGGTTGAAATATTTTTGTTTATTTATCTCTTGAATGACTTGAAAAACAATTCCTTTACAATGCATATATTGCCTACAAGAATTATTGAATTGTACTAATAATAAATTTGTGTATTGTCCTTCTCAAAGATGCTTGTGGCATTCATGCAATAGATCTTTTGCAGCATCTTTGACAATATAATGCAGGGACACTCTTAATTGCAAATGAGAGCAGGTGTAACTGAATTTTGTTGTACGTTAGCATTTGCACATACGGAGGTTATTTTTTTGCTAGGATCCGAAGCAGCAATATTGACTGTTTCCATTACAATGTTGTTGCATGGGATAGCTTCACTACATTTCACCGTAATTGCTTCGTCAGTTGCCGAGGTTCCTTGGAAGCCATTAAATGTAATGTCGGACACTGCTACCGCCGATGACTTGTATAGTTACATGTACCAATGTATGTACGTACGATTAGAGTAATGCTACATGTATAATATATGAAATTATTGATGAATAAGTGTCAAGTTTATTAGTAGGTTTACCTGATTCGCACAATTACTATAGCTAATGCAATAATATTGGTCTATAATAATCGGGTTTTGGACATTCTCGAGAATGATATCCTCATAGGTGATCTGCCTTGCATACCCATTTCCACCCTGTGCACGAAAATTCAAACTTAAATTAAGACGTGACAGCAAGTAAAAATTATGCAATCAACATACACTTGATATACGGACAAACAAAAATTAGCAAAACTTAATTTTTAAGTTTATTACCTGCCATGTTTTTATTCTGGCCCCATTTGAAGTATTCCTGAAAGTGCAATTTTTCACATGTATTTGTTCCACTTTTGCTTCTGCTCCATCTCTCCCCAAGCTTCCCACACTATTTATTATATTAAGATAAAAGATTAATCTTTCGCCACGATTTATTTTCCAATTTAAAATTTATATATATACAACTTTTTTTTTTTTTTTTAAAGTAAGGAAAAGGCTATATTGAGTCGGAAACTCATAAAAGTCAACCCGACTCATGTTAGTGAGTAAGATTCTTTAAAAAGTGGGGAAGGGTTTAAGCTCGTTATCGCGGAGAACTCACAAAGTCCTTACAAAATCTTAAAAAAAACACTGGGCCTTAACGGGGCCAACCCACCTTGTTGTGCTTGTGCCAGATTGGCCCACTTATGGCCCACTTGTGCCAGAATTCATGGATAATTTCTATCAATATTTGTATACGAACCTAATGCCATGGCCTGGTCCGCAGGTGATGTTTGTTATGTTAATCCATAATGTATCCGAACCAATTGCAACACAATCATCACCTATTTTTAACAAAACCAAAAAAATTGTTGATAAATTAGTAATAATTCGAATATTCGATAATGAGTACACTATAACCCTTGTACAATGTCATACTATCTAGCATACACTCGAGTGATATTCTAATTTAACGTACCAGTTCCAATGAAGGAGTTTAAGTTTTGTAGGTTGCTTGTAGAAGAAATATCAATTCCATCGGTGTTGTGGCTATCTTGTGGCGCAATTAGGTTAATATTGTTTATGGTCGAATTGTTGCTGCCTAACATAGTTATGTGATTTCCTGGACAATCTTTGCTTGTAACGCCACTTAATTGAAGACCATTGCAGTTAAAAAACGTCATGGTCTGAAATTAACCAAATATACTTGGAGTTGAATATGTAAGCTTCATTGGCACTTTTAATTATAAACACGTCTAAATTAATTTTAATCAATATCAATTAACAAAACTTACCGTTGGACGGTTGCATGAGCCCAATTCCTGGAATTAATGAGCACATTGTTATTGAATTATAGTGTAAAATTATGAATAATGCATATAATTGAGACAGTATGAAAAATCTCTCTTTAGTAATAAATTATATACGATGATTAGGCTATATTTAGTTCATCTTATTTTTACTTTATCGTTTTATGTAAGACTTTTTTTTTTATAACTATATATCTTTAATTTCATAATGAATTTTTTTTAATGAAAATTACATAATAATAAAATACACATACAAGGTCAAAGTTTAGTCAAATAAGAATATTAAACAATCGGAACAAATCAGAAAGATAAATTATGATCAGGAAAAAAAAAAAAAGGTTCATAAAGGTGAATTAAACAAAACCCTAGTGTAAAATAAGTTTATATAAGTGATTAAATGTATATATACATACGTTAATTATGGGAGCTTTTGTCCACCAAATTGAGCCTCTACTATCAATAACTCCTTGTCCTTCTACAAAGAGATTATCAATAGATTCAAAATGTAGCCAATTATTGTCTTCACATTTGTTCCACTGATCAATGCTACTGGGTGCTTCAATATTACCCTGTATCTGTCATATTCACAAAGCCCCTATGATATCAATATATATATCAATAATACTATCATACTACCTCCACCTAAATTTTAATTTAGTCACATTACTGGTTCAAATTATATTTTATGTAACGAAGTAAAAAAGTAATAAATTAATAATACATACTTTTCACTTGTTTGATTAGTTTTCGCAAATTGGGATGGCTAGTAATATTTTAAATATAGACGTTCAAATTATTCACCTGGATGTGAATGCTGGTAGATTGGCAAGGACCCTTAAATGCAATGGATTTGATTAAGAATGTCTTTCCTTGTGGTACGACTAGGGTTGTACTATCACCGCCAGCATCGCATGCATCTATCCATGCTTTTGCAAATGCCTGTAAAATAAACCATAAGAATAGGACGCATTTGTTAATATATATATATATAGTGGAAAAAGATACAAATTGTTCGTGTATGCTACAAAAAGTTAAAAAAATATATGAAAATTATACTTGAGTGTCATCTTGTTGTCCATCTCCTTTTGCCCCATAATCCAACACATTGAAGGTAGACGGACTTTTTTGTGCATTTGTAACTCTTATGCCAAGAAAGCTAGTTGCAATGTTTGCAACAATGAAGAGAACAAGGCGATAGTCCTATAAAACAAAATAAGACATTAGAAAAATCAGCAAACAAATAACAAATATAGGGTATTCCTATAATTAAGTTACTCTTAATCATTGATATTATAGCATGTAATAGAATGGGAGTTAAACGAAAATTGATCCAAATTACATGAAACTCACCATTTAAGCACACAATTCAAACAAGAAGTTGATTTATAATAGTTTAAGTTGTGTCAATTTCCCTGCTTCTAAACCATATAGTTATACATGACAAATACTAATAGTACCTCAAATCGTTGTTTATATAACATGATTAACATCTATCCCATTTGATCTTACATAATCAACATTATGTCACAAAATATCTCCTCAAATTATTGCTTGTTGAATTATTGGTGGCTTGGGTAAGATTATTTTTCTAATCTAATCTAATGTGATATTGAAACAATCAATTATTTACCTTGAAATATAACAGTAAGGAATCACTAGGGTATCAAGATTACTATCTTGATTTATGTTTAGTAACAATTCTGTGGTCTTGTTAGCTGTAATTTATATTCCAAATTTTCGAGATTGTAAAATTCATCTGAACTTGTAGATATTCATCTCAATAATGTATTATGTAAGAAATAAAATCCATATTTGTGTGATATGGTTTGATTATCTTTCCAATTCAAATCTAGCTGATACCATAGGATTATCTGTTTCGATTGGTCTTTTTTTTTAAAAAAAAAACAAAAATATTAATAATTTTCTTCCTACTTTGGAATTATAGTTCTTTGTATTTGTTAATCTTGGTATTCATTTGCAATAATATGGGCATATGAATGGAGGGAAAATTATGATATTTTATTCTATCTAATTTGAATCTATTTTGTAATGTTCAATATTATTATTTTCACTATCTTATGACTAATAATGATCTATGCACGATCTTCTCTATTGTCCGTCATGGCCTCATCTCATGGGATCATCATGATCTTAGAGTTATATTCTTCAAGCTTTAAAAATACTTCACAAAAATAAATTAAGATATATTCAAATAAGTTTTACAAGATAAAATAATGCAAATTAGATCAAATAAATTTTACTCCCGAATAAGTTCAATAAAGGTTACTTACATGACACTCAAATTAAAGTAATAAGTTTAATAATGCCAAGTTCTCAAAAAAATAAAAAAAGGCCCAAGACGAAGCTTGCGGTGAAGTGGGCTACATGTATGCTGGGCTTTAGGCTGCTTGCTAGACGCTGGATAGAGTTGGGTTTCATTGGGCTTTATTTACCTTTTTATTTGGGCATGTATATCATGGAGAAAAAAAAAGGTTGTTCCAGTCAAGTTTGCAGCAATCTCAATTTATGAGATGATGAACTTGCAGCATATATATCATCTTGACACGTAGGGATGTAAATTAACCAAGCCGATTAATAAACTACTCGGGTTCGAGCTCGGTTGAATCTCGTTCATGTTCGTTTATTTGATAAATGAGCCGAGCTTGAACAAATTTTGAAACTCGTTTAATAAATGAGCTTGAACACGAACATAGATATGCTCATTCAGATAAGTTCATGAACAACTCGTTTATTTATGCTTGCGAACTACTCGTTTATTTATGTTTGCGAACTACTCGTTTATTTATTCACAATTGTTAATTTAATTCTTAAGTTTTTTAATAATTAAGTTTTAATTCTTAGGTCTATATTTTTTTTTTTTTGAAGAATTCTTAGGTCTATAATTATGATTTAATTATTATGCTAATTTTGAGATTTTCAATTGACAAAAGTTCAAAGCTCGTTTAATAGAGAAGCTCGTTTATTACTAAGCTCGTTCATGAAACACTCGTTTAATAAATAAGTTGTTCACGAACCGTTCGCGAACATATAGGGCACTAAACGAGCCGAGCTTGAATAGATTATTGAGCTCACTTGAAACCTCAGGATCGTGCTTGAAATCGTGCTTTAAATGAATTTGAACTTAAACATGAACATGAACAAGGTAGTACTCAACTCGACTCGGCTCATTTACACCCTTATTGACACACAATAAAGAAGAGATTGAAGAATGTAAAGGTGCAAATAAATTGAAATAATTTCAATTTTGATATGAGGGATGAATTGGGATACTAAAGTTAAAATTATTCTAATTATTTGTCCATTTTCTTTGTTAATCACAAATTTACATTGCGTGCCAAAAGATAATGTCGCAAATATTTTGAACTAGAGGAATATCTTGTAAACAAACAAAAATAGATCATCAAGAATATTGATTGAATGTTTATCTTTTAACTTGATGTACGATACACGGGACAAAGGTAATATTCATTAGCAAAAAGTCGATTGAGATCTACAATTTTTTTTTCTATATACAGAGTAAAAGATTAAAATTTATTCTAGTAGTTTGAGAATTTAGGTAGTAGAAAACATGTGAATATTTTGATAGTTACACATTACACTTAGGTGACCTAAAGTTTCATAATCATGTCTATCATTGGTATTTTTATTTATTTATTGAATATTTGTCATAGTGCAAATACTTTTTTTTTTAAAAAAATGCAAATGCTTCGTACTTCATATAATTTATCAAAACTCGTAACAAAAAGATTTTTTTACCCTCCATTTTCCGGCTATTTTATAACCTCAACCTCAATCTTTTAACCTTAAACAAAGAATTAGCAATTCGATTTCGAATTTATCATCAAATATCATAAGCAATGTAGGAAGGGTTCTTCCTATGTCACTTGTGAGTTAATTATTGGTGTGTAGGGAGTATTGTATTGTATTATTATTGTTGATTGTCAAACAATGAGTTCCACAAAAAAAAATATATATATATATATATATATATATATATATATATATATATATATAATAATAATAATAATAATAATAAATAATAATAATAATAATAATAATAATAATAATAATAAAGGTTCTCTAGGTCAAATGTCTATAGATTTCATAAAGTTTACAGATTCACAATAATTCTGTTTCTGGAAGCCCACCTTTTTCATGTTCTTTCTATATTTCAGCATATGTTCCAAGTAAAAAGATCATATGTTTCTGGAAGCCCCTTTCAATATATTCCCGGTAAAATTAATTAATTAGTTCTTCATATCAGCAAGATATTTAATATTTTTGTTTTGTTTTTGTGAAAAAAGCCTGTGATTAAGGGCTTTTTGAAAATTATGGCAAGTTAACTTCCATGATTTACATTGGACTTTTTTTGTTCACCTTTAATCGTAACATTTTGACTTTAATGATTGTTGATACATATTTCGTATAACTTTAATTTTTAATAAAAAAGAAGTAAATTTAGAGAAAGCTAATATTTTTTAAAAAATATTGAGATTTATTAAATAAAGGATGACATATGATATACAATATTATCTTTTATATAAATCACTCACGATGGTTATATGTAAGTTCCTGAATAGAACAAAACTCAAAATGTTATAACAAAAAATGAACGATGGAAGTACTTGGCGAATGACAGTATCCCAAACCATAATTATGGATGGAATCGGATCCCACAATTCGCTTTGATATCATGTTTAGTTAAGTCCTTTGTAGTTTAAATTTGTTTTATCATTGTAGAATCTCAGTGATGGCATTACTGAAGTTCAAGATGGGTGGGTGCATCAAGAATCATATCTCTTTATAATGGATGAAAGAATATTTTTGAAAGTTATTAGAACTTTCCATACATACAACATAGACAAGAGGAAAAAAAAAAAAAAAAAAGGGAGATATACGACAAGAATATGAACACGAGTTTAATGAATTTTGCATCCCGCAATTTTATCCGAATTTTGAATGTGTATGTCATATACTTAAAATTAAAGCACCTAAAACAATGGTCCTAGTGGTACAAGGATTATACACTCGAGTGTGAGATGATATGGGCGCCCACATATTAATAAATATGCTGAATTGCTCCCTACAGCATCTATTAATAATTTGTCGACATATGATACTGTATTATAATGTATAAGATTTTGTCAATGTATGATACCTTATCACAATTACATTGCACACAGCTTCTATACTTTTTACTTGAGAAAATACGAGAGGCACACAAACTTATAGTTCACCTATTTCTCAATACAAACAAAATATACGGAGTTAAAATTTTGCACTACTTTTTTGTTGTGACTGTAATTTTGAATTATTTTGTTATGACTCGTACTTTTAATAGTCTATAAGCTGTGAATATATATTGGTGTATTAGGTCAGTTCTGTTGCCTTTCTTCTACTTATTTCAAGTAAAATAAGTTTAGAAAAGGTTTTAATTATTCGCATTTTGGATCAAATATATGGTTTAATCATAATTGGATAAATGTCAATTTGCAATGTCTTTCAGTGACAAACCATAACTAAACTGGTCCAACTGGACCCCCCACCCCCCCTACAGTTGTACTCCAAAAATACATTTCTGGAACCATCATAACGGTCAATAATAAATAATGTTCTATCAAGTGTAGGCAAACTTACAAACCATCTTCAAAAGAATTTGGGTTTAGCAGCACCACACAGTATGCAGTACTCACCAATTGACTTGGTCTCAAATATTGACTTATACTTAGTCCTAGAACATGTTGACTTGATACGACTACATAACACTAATCGGACATGAAATAACTGGGTTAATGTTGAACATTTTTTACCTATCTATATTATTCAATATGCAAGCAAAATAAGATCTATCTAAACATGATCTGATACAAAAACATAACAAAATGGGCATAAAAAATTAATTTATGTTCAAAATTTTCTTGAGATATAACTTAGATGAGCTGACATCTACAACAAATCATCGATTAATTAAATAAATTGGGATAGCATTAAGAATTTCAGTAAGATTAATTAAATACAGTTAGACAGATAAACGTCAAACTCGTTAACTAAAGTAACAGGTCTGACACGAGCACAAACACAAATTTGTTACAACCTGACCTGTTTAACAACTCTACTTATCACGATGTTACCTCGGCCGTAGCATAACATAAATTATGGTTAAAATTCTGGAAGGAAATTCCACACGTGTGACAACGAACACATAAGTACATAGCTAAATCTAGTCTCCTTACCCTGTCCCACAAAAGGCCAAAGTTAAGGATTATAATTGGTTAATAACATTAGAAGAAGCGACCAAGACATAAACCAAAAGAATTGAAGACTTCTTTTTTTTTTTATTTCAAAGCCATCACCTTGACTCTTCCACTTAACTCATCCAGGTGCATTGGACTCATTTTTAAAGTCTTCAAATTTGACGAAAGTTGTTATCAAACGTGCTACCTTTTCTAATCTATAGTTTTTTGTGGACCGTAGGATGTTACAACTGGCGAACCTTGGACCATTTATTTTGCCAACCTAAGATGTACTTTTTTACATTTCATACACCTTATATATTACATCTACTCACTGCACTAACACTTAAGTCATAATATTTTCATGCTATATAGCATAAAAACAACATATTTTATAACATATACTAAACTTCTTTTTGTTTTTCTTAGAAGTGTAACGTTAAAAGCTTAGAAGGAAAAATGGAGGATGATAAAGATTGTAGTGGTGGAGAGGTTAAGTATAGAGGTGTAAGGAAGCGGCCATGGGGGAAGTACGCGGCTGAAATCCGTGACTCGACTAGGCATGGTGCACGAGTTTGGCTTGGTACGTTTAATACGGCTGAGGAAGCTGCTAGGGCGTATGATCGAGCTGCTTATAACATGAGAGGTCATTTGGCTATACTTAATTTTCCTAGTGAGTATAACATGCCTCGCGGTGGTTCTTCCTCTAGGGGCGGTTCTTCATCTTCATCTTCATCGACGAGGAATAATGTTGGGCAAGATAGGGCTAAGGAAGTTTTCGAATTTGAGTATCTTGATGATAAGTTGCTCGAAGATCTTCTTGATTATGATAATAATAAGGGTGGAAGGCAATGAAGCTACATGTATATTTGATGATTTGATTTCAAGCTCTATAAAAACTTCGAACGAGCATGTTCGAATTTGGACAATGTGTCCTTGCATTTATAACTTATTTCATAATGTAACATCCTTTCTTCTCTTTCTCTACATCCGGCCTCGCTCCTCATTAAGGCCACATCGTTTTTCTTGAGAACTTTAATTTGTGTTTGATGATTAATAGGTCAGTCTAATAACTTTTACAACTACATTATTGTATGATATGATTTTCTCAATTTTCTCTATGTGCATTTCTTTCCTATATATATGGTATTATATTTACGATTATGTACATAGATAGATTGACACAAAAAATGTATTTATTTTTAAGTGGAAAATGAACTATTTGTGAAATGACTTGTAACAAGTTATGATTAATGTTGTTCTATATCAAATTATAAATGGGTGATAGCAACCATTTCTTAAGCAACCGAGTCACAATGGACTTAAATTACAATGTGGTGCATTTATTTTCTTTTGCTATAATTAGGGATCGAATTTGGTGCGTGGTAGACAAATAGAAGAAAATTCAAACTAATTTTCTATCATCTAAAATATTCTTCTTTTTTGTGGCTTAAAGATAGGGTAATGTGCAAATAATAACCAATGATAAAAATAGGTAATTTTATAATATTTGCATTCCATTGGTGTATTGGTGCGAGCATCAATGAAAAATGAAGAATATAGAGATGTGTCGGCCCATTTTTACATAAAAGCCCGTCGATCGGTTCATTTTCATGGCCTTATTCCTTAGTCTCCAGGTAACATCAGTAGATCACTTACTTCACATCACTCTCATCAACAAGCAATTTTTTTAAATAAGGTAATTTATTGCCTCCAACTCCGAGGCCCGCCCTATCCAAAAATAGAAAGAAAAAAAAAACATATTCCCGTCATCTCTTAATAAATACTACTCCCTCGATTTTTAATTACTCACAAAGTCACAAGTCACAACATATGTGTTTATGTTAATCTTAGGTTTAGGTAGACTTGTTGGGTGATACTATACATTTAAGAGCAGGTAGAGCTAATGATAGATTATTTTAATATTTTGCGTGAGAGAAAAAAAATTGAAGAATTAATTTAAGTAGGTTTAGTAGGAGCGGAAAATACACAACAACAATATATAACAATTGTGTGGTTATTGAAAGAGAAACAAATTAATAATAGTAGTATTAATTTCATTTCAAATAAAAAGTGTTACAACTTTTGCAAATATTATGTATATAGAAGAGGAAAGAGCTTTATTTGTATGGAAATAATTTCTAACTATCTTTATCAGAATATTAGATAGGTGGTCTATACTTAATTGGAAAGATTGCGAAAGCCATTATGCTATGTAATATTACCTTACCATAAATTTGAAATTCCTAAGAGTTATAGTGAAAAATTCCTAACGAACGTTGTGGACTTGTGTCGTACGTCCATTTGCGGCTGATGTTGCTAGCTCGGATTATGTTTTATTCTCCAAATTTCCAATTGTGTTGGATTCTTTGTTTGATTGATTAGTATGATTAAACATGCTTAGCTGTAAGTCAAAGGAAAAGTTCTATTTATCTTCGGCTTTCTTACTTGTATCTTGGCTTTTAGCACAATACAAATGTTCTTTTCATCTTACTTCCAAAATTAATGAGTATTACAATTAATTTATTTTTAATTATAATGTAAGAATACAATAAAATTTGGGAGAAATAAATTGATGATTGGCTTCAATTAAGATTTGACAACTAGATGAATGTCTAGATATATCTTACAGTATATAATTAGGGTTTCTCTTATTTGGAGTAAAAGTTAAACTCCTCTCTCATAGGGGTGTAAGGAGGGCGTCCAAGGCTCCAACCATGATTCTAAAATTATTATACTTACCGCTCCATTTTTATTATGTATTTATGTAGATTACTTTGTCCAACACACATGTCAATGTACACTTTGACCATCAATTTTTTTTATTGTCCATCACGAGGGAAAAAAAAGGGCGTTAAAAGTTGATATTATGAAAAAATGAAAATATACCTTGTAACTAATCCAATAACATTTATATAATAAAATAATGTTTACTTGTACATATTATTAATAATGCTTAATCAAAGTTAATATATAAATAACAGTGCTCTTTTTTGGTGTGACCAACCACACCGTGCGACAAGATGACACGCACACATCAAAAGACTAATCGGATAACTCCTAACCAAATGAGTAACACCTGACCAACCGAGTAATCCCTTATCCCTGACTGCGTAATATTTGTGAGATGCGGATATAGATCTATTCACAAAAAATGCGGATATAGTCTCATATAGACGATTATATGTTATTATGAGCTCTTTACCATTACGAAAATTTTAGGCCCAAACAAAATTACATTTCAGGACAACTGCAGCCCACACGCTTTTTACTCCTCCAAGTTATAATGGCTAAAAACAATCATGCCTATCCTATGGTTGCCCTAGCCCATATTCAAACTAAGCCTAAGCCCAAATCCAAGCCCAAGACCAAGACCAAGACCAAGACCAGTACGTGAGATTGAGAGAAACGCATCAGGTTTTCATTTCTCTAGTCTAGCAAATAGTGAAAATAATAAAAATTATGAGTTTGTTTTTTTTTTTTTTTGAGGAAATTATGAGTAAAATTTAGAAGATAGTCTTAAATACAAAATTTGCTCTAAATGATTCTTCTATAATCATATTTGTGCAAAATGGTACAACTGCCATTTTGATTTTTCATTACCACTAGAATATTTGATTAAATTTATAAACTAGTCACTAAAATCCCTAAACTTGGTATTTTTTTTTATGGAGATATATATTTGAGTAAAGCCCTGTTCACTTCACCTTTAAAAAATAATATTAAGTAAAAATAATTTTAGTTTAGTAAATTAATTTCAATTTAGTAAAAATAAGTTCAGTTCAGTAAAATTTAGTAATATAAAGAAGAAATATAATTGAAAATCAGTAAAAATAATTTTAGTTCAACAAAAATAATTTCAGTTTAGTAAAATTAATTTCAATTCAGTAAAAATAATTTAAGTTCAGCAAAAATAATTTCAGTTCAATAAAAATAATTTCAGTTCAACAAAAATAAGGTGAAGTGAACGGGGCCTAAATGTTAACTTTGCATTTTTGTAAACGAGTGTTGGGTATCAGCAGTCCCCTAAACTTGGAAGTTAATATATTTGATTAAAGGGCATCCACATGCATGATCATTATTCTTAAGACTTTGAAATCTATCTATCTATAACTATACTAAAACAGAGGGCACTACAAAAAAATAGCTACACGTGTCACCTTCACAAACAAAATTTTTCCGCTCTTTTCCGCTATCCTAATTAAAGCAAATATTCACTAAATAATCTAACACTTTCTATTTCCTATAAATATTACATATAATATATATATATATATATATATATATATATATATATATATATATATATATATATATCAGTCTATATATATACTAAAATATTATTGATTGATCTTATATAATATTTTTTGCCAAAAACAATATAAATTTTATTGATCCTATGTAGAAAATATTTTCATTAACCAGTAGAAAATTTCACAATATATTTCCACTATATATCAATAAAGAATGAAATATACTTGATAAAATAATATCTTTGACAAGATATTGAAAAAAAGATAATATACAATAACAGAAGGTAACAAAATATTTGCATGATCAAAAGACATTTTATGCATGCATTACGGCTGTGATATGCAAGGAAGATAATATCAAGATACTTCCTTGATATTATCTCAATATTTAATACTTAATTTTGCCAAATTTTGATACCCCATTAAAAAATTTTGTACGGGTTTTATACTTGGCAAATTCCACTATCATACAAAACTTATGTATATATTTTATTATATACATGTATCACGGATTGTTAAATTAGTAGAATATAATATACATGACGAGTGTCACCTTGTAATAAAAAAATTTCTCGCTCTTTTCCACTATCTTTAATAAAGCAATTAGACCTTTTATTTCTTATAAATCATACACATAAGTATTTTTTATTCAAACAATAGTTATAGATTTATCTCAAAAATATTAATAATGGATACTTTGTATGCGTAATATATAAATACCAAATCAAGCTAATTGTTTTTTAACATTTAAAATATTTTCCTTCTCCACATTTTTTCCTCTAAGGTAATGGTCTAAATTCAGCAATACACATGACAATATTATACAGTCAGTTGATCTTTTATATATATATATCACAGTTTGTAATATTAGAATTAAGATAATTAATCTCATATAATATAATATTATTGCCAAAAAATATAACTTTAATTGATCTTATGTGATAAAATTATTTAATATAAGTATTATTCTTATCCAAAAAAAAAAAATTATTAAAGTTTTTAACCTCTTCTTATTTTATCTTGATATATAGATTTTTATGACGTTTAGTTAGGCACTTAGGCTAAGTATGTGGGGTCAATCCACTCACTTGGGTAAAATTATAAATTTTGTATCAATACTTTCCTAATTTTCACCAATAATTTTAAGAACTCAAGTGGGTTAATTTGCACCCCTTACTGCACAATGGCTTGCTTATAAAAAAAATATAAAAATTTGATATTGATAAAATACATAATAAATATATTACCAACTAAATATTAACTACTGATGATTCAGAGTGTTGTATGGTGCGCGCCCGCGCCCATGTTAAGCACGCCCGTGCCAGGTAGCGCGGTCGCGAAGTGAGCGCGTCTAACCCGCGCACCTTTCTGAAAATCAGCATGTTGAATGAAAGTAGGGGCGCGCCCCCGTTGTTGGTAGCGCGCCCGCGCTAAAACCGCGCCCCTCACTGTTTTCAAGATTCATTCGCAGGTTTTTGGGAGGAGCGCCCGCTCCGCCAGGAGGCATGCCCGCGCTACTTCCCAGTTCTGCGGTTATTTGTTGACGGTTGTTTCTCTTAAGGATTTCGTGAAAAACAGAAGAGACAGAACAATTTTCTCTCTTCCTCTCCAAAAGAAATTCTCCACAATTTTCTTGCAAACTATTGTGAGAAATCTTGAAACTTAGCCTTTATTGTGAATTGTTCATTATTCACTAAAAGTTTACTGTCAATTGTATCTCAAAGAGGATTTCCGGTTTAACCCAAGCACCGTGTGGGGGAAATAAACCTCTTTAGGAAAGTGTATACATGCCTTTGACAGTGTATCAAGGTTTGAGACTCAAATGGTCATCATTTTCTCATATTCATGTTCATCGATCATCTTCAAGGCTTGGTGTTGAGGCAATTT